AATGGCTGACACCATCATAAATTGCTGGTCATAAAAAATAGAATACGCATGCGCATCATTATGCAAATTAGTACACTCACCGATTCCTATTAGTTGTATTCATGCAATTGGGCATAAAAAACCAAAAGAAGCAGCCTATCGGCTGAGATAGCTCCGCTGTTAGCAATGCACCTTTCAATTAAAGAACTGAAGACATCATTAGAAAATGAACAATATGTATAGTATCAAAGCAATCGGACTTACAGTTTTTAACAAGAAGTCAAAAATATCACTTTTTACCAAAAATTACAAAAATATTAACCAAAATTAGAGAATTGAAGACATCATTACAAAATGAACAAATCTGAGAGAGGTACACATGTAGTACCTATATATGTAATATCAAAGCAATTGGACTTGCGGTTTTTAACAAGAAGTCAAAAATATCATTTTTTACCAAAAATGACAAAAATATTCACCAAAATTAGAGAATTGAAGATATCATTACAAAATGAACAAATCTGAGAGAGGTCCACATTTAGTACCTATATATTTAATATCAAAGCAATTGGACTTGCGGTTTTTAACAAGTTGAAAATATCACTTTTTACCAAAAATGACAAAAATATTCACCAAAATTAGAGAATTAAAGATATCATTACGAAATGAACAAACCTGAGAGAGGTCCACATGTAGTACCTATATATATAATATCAAAGCAATTGAACTTGCGTTTTTTAACAAGAAGTCGAAAATATCACTTTTTACCAAAAATGACAAAAATATTCACCAAAATTAGAGAATTAAAGATATCATCACGAAATGAACAAACCTGAGAGAGGTCCACATGTAGTACCAATATATATAATATCAAAGCAATTGAACTTGCGTTTTTTAACAAGAAGTCGAAAATATCACTTTTTACCAAAAATGACAAAAATATTCACCAAAATTAGAGAATTGAAGATATCATCATGAAGTGAACAAATCTGAGAGAGGTCTACCCAAGGTACATATACACAAAGTATCAAAGCATTCAGGCTTGTAGTTTTCAAGAAGAAGTCGAAAAAGTAAAACATTGACACGGACGACGACGACAGACGACGCCGGACAATCACTCATATGATAAGCTCCGCTCGACAAAGTCGACAGCGGAGCTAAAAAAAAATAATAAAAAAATACATAAAAAATGCTAAATTTTAATTAAAATGTAAAATACAATAATGAATTGCAGCAGCCAATCATTAGTAACATTCTTACCAAGTTACATAAAAATCGTTTTTAATGCTTCTTGAGATATAACTGAAATAGCTTAAAATTCACACATTATTATGCAGATGAGCTCATTAATATGCATGGATGTCAACCAAAAACTAATCAAATCTGGGCATTGCCCCAGACAAGCTATATACCAAGTTTCATTGAAATCCGAACATTGGTTCTTGAGATATCGATGGAACAGACACAGACAGACAGACAGACAGACAGACAGACAGACAGACAGACAGACAGACAGACAGACAGACTAACTGCAAAGACTCCCTTTTTGTGCTTCGCACACGGGAGTCAAAAAATTACTCTATCATGCTCAATGAAATATAATTTTGTAAATTTGTTAGTAGAATTACTGAACATAAATTATTTTGGGACATCAATTTTTACAAAAAGGTTACCAAAATAGGTACTGACAGACAACCAACTTTGAAACCTTCCAAGTTTTGAACAAACTCCCAACTCTACTTGTGCACTTGGCATCTGATCAGAATTGAGAGCACACTGACCTGCAACATTAATTGTTGCAATGCCCACAGGCCTGAATCAATTTTCTATAGTTAGAAAAAAATCATGAAATTTGCAGCAATTTTCACTGGAGTTCTTAAAGTGCCTGTGAAATGGCTGCTATTTTCACGCCTAAAATTATCCATTGATACATAAATATTATTAATTTTTATGTTTCTAAGTATGAATTATTTTTTTTAAGTGAAAAAATGCGTTTTAAACTCAATCTACGACAACTTTATTTTTGTGTATTTTAAAACAAGGCTCCCCATTAGCTTCTTATTTGCATACAGAAATTCCCCTGTGACGTCAGAAGGGGAAGTCGCATGGCAGCTTGCATTGCCGATACGTGTAAATAAGGCAAATTTCTTGTGCAGTTTTCTCGTCTTTGACTAAATTTTCACTTATGTACTTGTTCGTCGAGGAGGAATGGATCATAATGAACACATAGTATCAAGTTTTGTTGCATGGGGTTGAGTTAGATGCGAAATATGTCCGTTCTGGTGTAGCTGGTCACCGTGATCGTCACCGGCGCACGTGTGTGTAAGACAAAATAGAATTTGACGTCGGAATTATCTCGTTATTTAGCAGGTTACTACGCACGTCACTACACTGTTTTATTTCATTGATCGTCTGAGTAAAACTTTCAAAATTAAAATAAAAGAGAACATATTTTGACATTCTAAACATTAGACTATAGTGATCACTATAAAATAATTAAAAAAAAACGACAAATCACAGTTACTAAATAAATGACAGTCGCGTGGAAATAAATTGAAATTTTGTTGA